AGAAAAGACAGACTTGGAAGCTGTGTGACCCTTCATTGCTGCAGTTTGGAAGTTTGGTTGCCTCTTTGTACTTCTGAAAGCCCAGTCTACTTCAGGTAAACCTTAACTGCACAAACCACATCCAAGGTATGGAGAACCTTGTACCCCAGCACCCAAGGCTTGGGCCAAAAAGGAAGGCAACACAATATATTGATTAAGATGGAATGGAGAACCACCTTAAGCAGAAAAGATGGTTGAGGCCACAAGAGCAACCTGTCACGATGCATCATCATGCATACTTTGTAACAGCCAAGAGCAGACAATTCTAAAACCCTGCCAGCTGAAGTAATAGTAACCAGAAAGATAACCTTCCATCTGAAAAAGACAAAGGGAATGTCCCGAATGGGTTTAAACAGAGAATTCCATAACACAAAGTACAAGTTAAGGTCCCATGGAGTCAACGGAGTCTTGACCCATGGAACAATATATGTGACTTATACAAAGGCATGCACCAAGCAACGAGAAGCAATGGGTCTCCAAAAGAGATCCAACAAGGCTGAAATCTGACCATTGATGGTACACAGGGCAAAAACCTAGGAGACTCCCTACTGGAGAATTGCCAGCATGCAGTGTTAAACATGCGTGGGTGAAGCTTACCAACCTCACACCAGGCAAATTAAGACTTCACAAGTGCAAATGGAAAATATTCCACAGAGTTGGCTTCCTAGGTTTCAGAAGCATAGGAAAATTGAATCAAACATACCCGTCTCTCAGACTCTGGCATTAACAGCCATGGTCCTAGAATATATTGACTATAAAGATAAAAGATCAGACCCTTTAACAGGAGAGCTGGGCCGATCTGGTAGGATGCACAGTTCAACTACTGGCAAGTTTATAATGTCAGTGTACCACGTTCTCCCGGGCCAGGTTAGGACGATCAGAATCACTGAAATTCCTTTCTCCCGATGCCTGCAAAGCAGATAGGTAGAAAGTGTAATGGAGGAAAGGCATAAATTAGGGAGAGCTGATCCCATGTTGTCAGCAAAGCATCCACTGCCAGTGTTTGAGAGTTCCTGGTCCAAAAAAACTGTGCAGCTTTGCATTGAATCTGGACACCAGAAGATCCACATTTTGTTTCCCTATTTCCAACAGAGCTCCACAAACACCTCTGGGTGAGGAGCCTACTCCCCCGGAGTCTTTGGTTCATGGCTCAGATATTCCACTTGCCAGTTTTCCATGCCGGGAATCTGTAGGGAGGGAAAATTACTTTTTACCCCAAACAGAATGAGATCCTCCTCCTGAGTGGCCCGACTTTGGTGCCTCCCTTTATATAAACTACCACCATGGCACTGTCTGACTGGACCCTTACAGGGAGACCTGTCAATTGTACCAACCAATGCAGAAGAGCAGGCCAAATACCCTTAATGCCACAATGTTGATCGGTATAGTCCTCTCTATCCATCACCAAGACCTTGCAGAAAATAAAAAATTTCCCCATCTCCAGCACACACAAAAAAAAATCCACTGCTCCACAGACCGTTTGGTCCTGGGATGTAGATGAATAAGGGAGTCCAGAAACTGCATTCTTCTTTTCCATGCCAAGACAACATTCAGTTGGAGAAGCACAATTAAAAAGGAGCAAATGGGACTCAATCTCAAAGAATACTCATGCAGAAAACAAATTGAGGAGCCCTGCAGCATCCAATACTACTCCACAGGAGATCACAGAGCAAGACATTTGTCCTGATGTAGGCTTACCCTCTATTGGACTGTGTCCACAATCAGTCCTAAATACTGCATAAGCTGCTGCGTTAGGACCACGGCTGACGTTTGAGTTCTGAGGATTTACCAGAGTCTCTACTGTTCAATTCACACTGTCCTCCAGGAACAGAGGGGACTGTTTCTTTAGTCGTAGGTCATCCAGGTAACCTATAATAGAATACCCTGGGCAGCATGAAGGAGCCATAAGACACGAGCCAGCACTTTAAGGACTACCCTGAGAACAGTAGACAAAGCCAAAACCGCAAAGCTGAAAACTGAAAATATCAGGCTTTTACTGCAAATGCAAGAACTGTTGGTGAGGCTTGAAAAATTGGTATATGCAAAGTATTATTGATATATATTGATGCAAGAAAATCCCTGCTGGGAGGCAGTTATAGAACAGATTCCATATGGAACTTTTGCACTTGGACAAACTTTAATTTTTGAGATCTAGGTTGGGACAAATGTCACTTGGAAACCATGAATAGGTTCAAATAGAAGCTGTAAAACTATTCACCCCTCCACAAAGGCCAGCAAATGTCCCCCCACCTAAGCAAGTGGGGGCATCCCTTCATTGTGAGGAGAACTTTGTTTCCTGGCTTAACAGAGGTTTAGGAGGCAGTTTAGTGGAACTGGGATTGGAGCATGAGGATAGAGCCCAAGGCCTATGATTGATGAAAGGAATGCGTTTTGAAATAGAAGGGCATGTAAGTTTTTGTACCGCAGGCTTTGACTTTTTAAGCAGCAAAAAAAAGTACTCTTACCCACAGTTACCTTTTGGATGTAATCTAAGGCAGGGCTAAACAAACATTTTTCTGCTTCAAATCGACCTGCTTCTTACAAGGCAGTCTTGCAGACAAACACTCTGGCCATAAGATTCTGCACATGCGTACAGATAAGACACCCAAATAAAAAAGCTGTTGAATGGAGTGTTTAAAAAAGATATCCAGAGAAGGTAAGGGCATGGGAAAAATCTTCCAGGTTATCACCCTCACACTCTGCAGTCTGGGTCTCTTTGTTTCATCATATGACACCCCCAACACCTTGAGGGTGTGACACTCCTACAGGTGCAGTCTCAGGCTGTAAGGCTGTCCCATCTAGAGCATAGGAAGCTTTAAAAAGGGCCTCCAAACATTTGCCTAAAGCATCCCTATATACGATATGACCAACTCTTCCACCAGAACCGTGAGGATCTTCATGAAATAAAGCCCCATCTACAGCTGGCAAAATCCTTTTCCATGGGACATTGTTGTGCAAATCACTTAGGCAGAACAAACGCCCTTCTCAGGGTGAGCTCAGTCTGCAAAGAAAACATACCCTAAGTGAGAATGCATTAAAAAGGATTGTGGATGCTCTAGCGGCAACCACAATCCTAATCTGGTAACCTTTGGAAAAAAGGGACTCGGGCAAGTTGCAATTTAATTTTTTTCTGAACCACTTTGCAAGTAACCCCACAAAGGCTTTTTGGATTCAATCTAAAACCAGACCCTGGGATTCTTCAAAAGCAAATTTCCTCAGAAGGTGATTTTCCCACATTCCGCCAACTCAAAGTTGTTTTCCCTTCCACCTCCGGTAGACTTTCTGTGGGTTCCTCCTCCATCAAAAAGAAGACAGGAGGGGAAAAGGAAGCATTTCCGCTAGCAACCATGAAAGGATACCTCAGAGTTGGTGTTGCAAACCAGAAACAGCAGATAAAAACTCCTACCTTCACAAGAAGACTGCTCCCCAAAGGTAGTGGAAAGACCAGAACGTATTGGTTCCAGAGGATCAGCTTGATAGCCATGGAGGGAATCAGAGCCACATGGAATTAACTGAACCCCAGGGGACATAATACAAGAGGAACTGCATCTAGGTTCCTCCATGCCCAATAAGGAAATTTGGGAACCTTCTCCCCTTTAATCCCTATTCTCTGCCATCACTGAGACATGGTCTGCTGACAATACGTACAGACATTTGCCAACAAAAAGCAGTCCAAAGTTAGCTGGAAGAAGCAGGTGTGAATAATACCTGTGCACAATACTCTCAAAGTGGGAGAGGTTGTACCCGAAAAGGAAGGACTTCAGTGTCTTGTACCAGTGATCCGCCTCCCTGATGAGTAGCAGGGGAAAACAAGTGTATTAAAATCTAAAGAACGCGATCCTTGCTCAAAACATCCACTCCCGGAGTGCCCAGCAGACTATCTCCCAGATGTCACTGGCTGCTATGGCGCCTGCAGGAGCCACTCTGAAGCATCCACAGAGGTAGGTGGGAGCAGAGGACTCCAACACCCCTATAGGGTCCAGTCCCTAGGGCACTCATGAGTTCACACAGTGGAACTCCCCATGCCTTGAAACTTCACCCATCTTGGGTGGTCTTGTGCCACAAATATTTTCAAACACTACTTCTAGGGCTAGGGATCACTTCTCTGGATCTGTATAGCATCCTGCCATTTCATCAGATAATATATAATTTACACAGGGTACAGTGGAGTTCAGTTTAGTGGTGCACAGGAAGAACCAAGGAATCTACTTGAGAGGAGCCAGTTGAGAACAAGTTTTGAATGCAAGCAAAAAGATAAAGCAGTCCAAAATCTAATGTATATACAACCAGCCAGGCAGGTAAAGAAAAAAAAAAAAAAAAAAGGGAGGAAATTTAAGGGTTGATAATATTGAGAGAAAAAGCATATTCAGGGAAAGAGCTTTTAGCAACACAAAATGATTACAGGTAGGACAGGATACTGTACTTAGTAAAAATAATATGGGTGACAGCCTATATGTAGCACAATTGGTCAATGGTATATGAGTGGTTTAGACCTATCACTATGGGAGGGAATTGTTGGTAGAGTACCAATTGCTCCTACTCTCCAAGTATTTTCACAATATTAAATAAGAGTTAATAACGCAAACTGATTGTATTACAATAACAACATAATAACATTACTTAATACTATGATTCTACCTAACAAAGGTAAATCATAGAATGTTGATTTCAGTGTTCTTTTCAGGAACAGAATAAGATTACACAGATAAAAGACCATATCAAATTATAATGCCATAACTCATGAATATATTGCTATATTATGGAAATATTGTATTACAGTATAATATTTAATTGTATTACAGCTGAACAGACAGTCATAACAGCTATAAAGGAGCAACATGATCAGAAAATAATTTAATGAAAGGACCTTTTTAGTAATTCCTATAGCTTCATCTAAAAGTCAAAAGATCCTACCTGAAGTGTCTCAAGGCCTCCATGATCTGACTGAGATAGACCTGCACCCGCTGACTTGATTCAGTAATCTTCCTGCATGAGATCATAGCCTGCAGAGAAAAAAAAATGATATGGAGTTAATGCAATTTCTCAGACAAACCTGTAACAATGTGAGATTCATACAAAACACACCTGACCTTTGTAGTCTTCTAGATACAATCTTCTTGAGAGAGGCCATCTAGTGCTACTGTAGAAAATGTTTGCAAGACTGTTTCGCAGTCAGCAAGAGATTGACCTTACAGAGGTATACTTCCTCTGTTGGCCCACCCAGCCTAGCATTTCTGGCAGGAGCAACAAATATTTTATGCACTTGCTAAACATGTTCTTAGAAGTGGTGACTGTGTCAGGTTTTAGGCTAAGGACTGGTAAACTGCAATAATAGGAATTTTGACATACCCGTAAGTTCCATATCTTGAGGTACAGTACAGGACACAAGAGTTGACTCTTAAGACCATGGGCTATATAGGCTTACTTTCAGGTGACTGGACACTGGCAAAAGCTTTGCTGATAACAGCCCCTCAGTGCAACCATGTAACCCCCGCCCACTCTATGAGACTTTGGGTTTTTTTTGTAAGGAGGTTACAGAGTACAGTCTGGCCATAGATAGATTGAAAATTTGGCCGATACAGCAGGAAATGGCTGACGTTCATTTCATCTATGGCCATTTTTGCTAGAGAATGCTGGAATTTTTTTATCTGATGAATGCATGCAGTGCTGGTCACTGTATTCTGACAGTAAAGGAGTCACGCTGTTAGAATACAATAGCACAGCGGGAAGATTCCACCTCACGGTGTGGATGGGGGAAATTGTTACGATCTGTCTGTCTATGGCCAGTTTTAATCGTACAGTACAGGAGACAAGAGTTTATTCTTCCAGTATGGGACATCCTCATGCAATAAATTCAGGGGTTTGGAAACAAGCCAGCCTAGATTGCAACAGATCCATAGGAAGAACAAAGTCAAAGGACACAAATAGAAAGATGACATCCGACACACTTTGTAGCCAAAGCAGAAATGAGCAGAGGGGGAAGGAAAAAAAAAAAAAAAAAAAAAACGCACAAAATTGTTTTGAAAACGTAAACTGACAGGCAGTGGTCCTGAGCCCTGAAACCCATGAGAAGGACTAATGAGAGATGCTGTGAGGAATCCAAGAACTCCAAACTCTTGGGGAATGGTTTCAATTAGAGAAGGAGGGACTTGCTCTTCAAGGACTGAAAGAAAGGCAAATTAACCAACCAGCCGGGTGGAAGAGGATGGATGAATTCCATAGAAGGACTGCCCAATGAGGAACAGGAAAGGGGTCAGTTGTCAAGGGAATACATGACAGGCCACCACAGAGGACAGTTCTGACCCCACCCATAAGGCTAATCATGAGTGTTTGACATACCTTCTAGATAGGACACAGGGAGGAAGAATGACATTCCCACAAAAAAAAAAAAAAAAAAGTTTCAGGGAGGCAAGGACAACAGGCTTCCCAGAGGGATAAAAATTTGTTCCTCCTTTTCTTAAACTACATGGGGAAACAGGAGGACCAAAGAAGAAATATGGCTGCTTGGGTCATTAAAAAGAGGAAGGTCCTTTTCTTACATTAGTCCTTCTAAAGTAGTAAAACTATTTTAGCACGAAGGAGGACTCTGCATGGGCAAGAATACCTAAGGAAAGCCCCAGAGGTGCACAGGTAATCGCAACAGCAATGAAAAGCAACTTTTAGCAAAAAGGAGTTACAAGGAGTGTGACGTCAAGGTGTTAAAGGATTTACAAAGCCCAACCAAGACCTGGTGGGTACCAGGGGCTAAGGTGTTCTGCAATTCAGAGTGATCTTCATACCTCCGAGAAGTGAGGGGCACCCAACACAGAGATTGGAATGTGTCTGACTGGTGAAGATCAAGGAATTTTATGCTGGAAATATCTCTGGGTGAAAGTCTGTGTAGTAACAGGATTAAAGAGAGACCAGTTCCTTTTGAGATGTAAGAGCAGAGGATTTCTTACCTTGTAAAACAGGTAGCCTGGGGATCCTTGAGCCGGGTATAGCAAAGGTGGGCATATCAAAACTGAGGGTTTTAGGACATGGAAGCCTGTGTAGAAAAGGGGTCAAGGTAATGGAGCTAACCTTCACATGTAGTAAGGAGTAGAGTTCCAGTGACCTTGAGTGGAGATGCCAAGCACTAGCTGTCCCAAAGAGTATGCCAATAAAACCAGAGGGAAAATGGAGATGCAACTGAAGGGTACCAATGGCAGCATGTTCATGAAAGAAAGGATCTTCAAGGCACATGAAAGCTCAGGGTTTGAATAAATGTTTAACAATATAGCACCACAAGGTGTGGAGAGTTCAGCAATGTAAAAACTACACTGAAGTGTGGATAGAAGGGTAGTAAAAAGTTCATCACACTGTAGATGCCATTAACGTTGTCTCATGAAAGAGAATGATAGCTCTATAGAAGACGAGGCAGAAGCCACGTTGCTGCAGTAGACTTCAGGTGATTAGACAGGAGGGCTGGTTACTGCAGTAATTAGAAAATAGGTCTTTAGGAGCATGAAGAGACATGTACTGTTGAGTGGATAAGGGATCACGCACAAGATTTTGAAAAGTTCTAATCCTCGTGTCAAGAACATTTGGCAGAGGGAAAAAAAAAACAAAACAAACACCAAACACACACACACACACACACACACCACACCAAAGATCTTTTTCCAATGTGAGCAATTGTCAATTGAAGTCCCCCTCAACCCTCTTTGTCAAGGGGTGGGAACAACTTTATACATGAAGAAGGTATCTGAGCAGGTCCGGTGGGCTTTGCGGTGTGGGGGTCTGCCATGACGTAAGGGACCTGCAGTATTTAAACCCTATTCCCTCGGTAACGGTCTCAATGTATTCCTCAAGGGAATTTCCGAAGATAAGCTCGGCTTCGAAGACATTGACAAATTTTCAAATCGGTAAAACATTTTACCACTCCCCATAAGTGTATATTACCCAATAATCTGTGCCCTCAAATCCCTTGTGTGCTTAGCACTGCAGTATGGTTTAAAGGATATAGTGTAGTAAACACTACATATCCAGGTAATAATCAACAAGATGTACTATATTGCCAAAGGTATTGGGACACCTGCCTTCACGCACATGAACTTTAATGGTATTCCAGTTTCAGTCCGTAGGGTTCAATATGAAGTTGGCCCATCCTTTACAGCTATAACAGCTTCAACTCTTCTGGGAAGGCTGTCCACAAGGTTTAGAAGAGGGTCTATGGGAATCTTTGACCATTCTTCCAGAAGCACATTTGTGAGGTCAGGCACTAATGTCAGACGAGAAGGTCTGGCTTGCAGTATCTGCTCTAATTCATCCAAAAGGTGTTCTATTGGGTTGAGGTCAGGACTCTGTGGAGGCCAGTGAAATTCCTCCTCCCCAAACTCAGTCATTTATGTCCTTATGGACCTTGCTTTGTACACTGGTGCGCAGTCATGTTGGAACAGGAAGTCACCATCCCCAAACTGCTCCCACAAACTTGGGAGCATGAAATTGTGCAAAAATGTCTTGGTATGCTGACACCTTAAGAGTTCCCTTCACTGGAACTAAGGGGCCAAGCCCAACCCCTGAATAAAGAAACAACGCCACACCATAATCCCCCCTGCACCAAACTTTACACTTGGCACAATGCAGTGAGGCAAGTACCATTCTACTGGAAACTGCCAAACCCAGAAACGTCCATCGGATTGCAAGACAGAAAAGCATGATTCCTCACTCCAAAGAACATGTCTCCACTGCTCTAGAGTCCAGTGGCGGCGTGCTTTACACCACTGCATTCGACACTATGAATTGCACTTGGTGATGTAAGGCTTGGATGCAGCTGCTTAGCCATGGAAATCCATTCCATGAAGCTCTCTATGCACTGTTGTGCTAATTTAAAGACATCCAAACTTTGTGTGGCCTTCAGCTACTGACTGCAGATAGTTAGCGACTTCTGTGCACTTCAGCATGCGCTGACCCCACTCTGTCATTTTACGTAGCCCACTACTTTGTGGCTGAGTTGCTGTTCCCAGTTTCTTCCACTTTGTAATACCGCTAGCAGTTGACCGTGGAATATTTCGTAGCAAGGAAATTTCATGGATGGGCTTATTGCACAAGAGAAGACCTATCACAGTAGCACGCTTGAATTTACTGAGCTCCTAAGAGCCACCCATTCTTTCACAAAATGTTTGTAGAATCAGTCTGCATGCCTAGGTGCTTGATTTTATACACTTGTGGCCATGGAGGTGATTGGAACACATGAATCCAATGATTTGGAGGGGTGTCCCAATACTATTGGCAAAATAATGTATGTGTAGCCTGAATCTGGGAAATAAAAAGTTACAGGGAAACCCTATCTTGCTTTGTCCACATTGTTGGTCCTGTCCAGGCTTCACCCATCACACTAATCATACCCCACAAAAGGTTCTTCAGGATCTGGGTGCCATAGGAATGCACCACAGCCCTGGACCTGTATAGCACCCTGGGATAACTCATTTGTTGAAATAGGTACCAGAGTGCGTGCCGAATGCATCATCAAATACTATACAGTATCCGGTACTCCAATACAGCATCCAAAATACTACAGGCCAGCACTGCTGTTGCAGGATTCGGTTCCCAAGATGTATAGTAAGGGTAGCCAATCTAGAAACTGCCAGTGAGCCATAAGGCAATAAGCCATCTGATCTTGACAGAATCCAATCACCTGAAGGCAGCGGCATATAACCTATGGTCTAAGAATCAACTTCTGTGTTCTATACTGTACAGTTATATTATTACATTTTTGTTTTTCTGGAAAAAAATTGCCCAGCAAATCACATACAAGTGTGAAATTATTGAACGATTAACTTCCTACTCCCATGAAATCCTATGAAGGTGATCATTAGTACTTTTCTGATATGACACGATTGTGACATTGTTAACCAATTTGAATAGCAGCAGCTTCCATGAACTCCTACACACATCAGTGTTGTTTATGTGTGATGCGCAGACATGCATAGTGCAACAACCTTGCTGCAAAATCTACACATAACCAATGTTTCTAATAAGCATGTTGCTTGGACACCCATACTGCTCTTGCAAACAGAATAGAGGGCTGTAATACTGCTCATACATCACTGCCATTTTTGAGCAACCCCAATAAAAATGATGAGCTGCTAAAATATGGCACAGTTACACAGTGCGCAGCAATGATGCCGATGTGACCCTCTAAGTGGAGTAATCAATTTTCCACATTGCCATGCTGGGCTTTGTAGTGTGGTTTCTCTCATTACATAGGAGAAGGTAAAGGTAGCCGAGTAATCCTATTCTTGCCAAGTATACACAAATCAGCTTCTATTAAGCATGCTAACCACCACAACATTGTATACTCCTGACAGGAGCCATAAATCACCTTACAACAAGCTACTGCCTGAATCCCAAAGTTATGTATTGCAGTACAGGGGCTGTGTTACCTTTTCTATAGATGACTTTAGCTTGTTTATGTGAGATTCAAACAAAGGAAAGTGGGAGAAAAAGAAGTCCTGGAAATTCCTTTGTGCTTCCTCCTCTTTAGACAAAGAAAAGAGGATGCTGATTGCTATCTTCTTGCGGCCAATCATTGCTGGGTTTGTAGTGTAACTCTCATCCGCCATACTAAAAGTTTCTTCTGTTGACCTGCAAACAAGATTATTCAGAAAAGGTTACAGAGCATACCAACATAATTTTCTTTTAAATTGCCAAAAGGATTTACTACTGTACATTTGGCACAGGATGTAAATTATTCTGATAAAGCATTGACAAGGTTTACATCAAGAATTGTTTTAACCACCAAATGGGACACCACTTTCCTAATATAGGAGTAATCTATAACAAGTGATTGAATACACAGTTGTCCACGGGAGGCCTAGCTGAACTATATGGTAAAGAATATGCTCAGACCGTACGCTGACAAACTATATACTGTATATCCAAGTGCAATAGTAGGGGAATCATTGTTTTCTGAAGAGATATTAAGGAACCAGAGTTGTGGGTGAAGGGGATTTTTCACTTTGTTTAGATCTTTTTAAAAAAAGGTTTTGCATAATTTTAGGGGTTGTGTTAATTAAGAACATTTTAAATAAGGTTTAGGGGCTTTGATAAATGTGGTGAATTGCTTTAGGACAGATTAAGTGAAGGGTAAGTTTAATAGAATACGTTAAGCTTTTGGTTCAGGATAATCTATGAAACCATATAGAAAATGTAATCCTATTTCATATATAAGACAAGTTAACAGCGAGACATACAGGAAGGGGTTTTCCCCATCTATTTGCAAGCTCTGCCCATTTAGTATGTTCACTACACAGGCACAGAGAGGCATGTAAGCCATTTGCCAGGTTACCACTAGATCACATTCCATATACCAGGTCTAATCTGGTGGGGATCTGCGGCAGTTTTCTATACTGAAATCTGACGCAATCCCTTTGTATGTCGTGATTGGAAAAAAAAAAAAAATAGTATTTACCATCGTGGAACTACACCATTTTCTAAACTGGTGGTTTGACTTCTCAACAATCGCCGCTGATAGCTGCTGGCATAGCTACTTGAAAATGATGTACTTGGTGAAGGAAGAGGAGTAATCAGAAGACTGCTTAGAGATGCTACAATAAAAAAAGGTCAAGAAAAAGGAAACATTTGTTAGGAATATATACAGCTGTTATGGAAGAAATAAAACCCGTATTTACAAATTCTTAATTATATTGCAGATATGATACACTTCAACTATAAAGCAAGGTTAACAAAGGAATTACAAGCCAAAACCCCCTGCTGAAAAATCTTTGCCAATTTTGTGACCTTTACAAATTCATGTCAGTGTAGACCAGACCATGTGCTGCTAAAAATGATATATTTATACTTTTAATAAATTATAATCCTAATCTCCAGTGCCCAACATCTGTTGGCAACTGTTATGCACTTTGCAGAAAGGCAGCGGGGTGTTGGAAACCTGTGTTTCAGCAACCGGCACAGAAATAAACACCATATACGGTCAGGCAGCGGGACTTCTGCCCAACAGTACAAGTATAGTTCATCAACTCAGAAGAGCCAACCTAAAATCAGAACACAGGTCTGTCCTAGAGGAAATTCAACCCACAATCCAAATTCTGCAAGAAAATGTTCAGCTGTGAAAGGAGATAAACAAAAAAAAAAAAAAAAACAAAAAAACAAATTCAGCCTAACAACCAGGAAAGAGAAGCAAAAAGGATGGTTTATACAAAGTGTCTAGTGACTAATGAATTTCCAAAAATTAACATTCCAACAGGCCAGTAACAGCCAAAACAACTCACTCTTGAGACCACAACAGACAGGAAAGAGATTAATTGGAGGGGAAACAAAATGAACTGAAATAGTTTGAATACCAGACCATGAAAAGTACCCAAACACTAAACCGCTCTTTGACAAAATTCACAGTGGAACAACTGAACAAGCAACTAGAGCCACTAATAACCTGTAATTTACTACCCCTAAACATAATTTCTCTTACACACACGGACAAATTGTCACTATTCCAAGGTAATACTATCTTCCCTACGTCTAAGGAGAGACATACCAAACAATATAATTCAGCAGATTAAATAGATCATAGTCTAACATCTACCCAGCACAACACCTCCCCCATAGTACCCCAACACCTTTACAATAACAATCACCTGAACAAACAAAGGGCAGGGGAATTTAAAGATATTGTTCTTAATAGAACTCACAACCCTGGACTTGGAACAAACCAAATTAAGACCAGCACAACGACAATCACAAAAATATCCTAAACCTGAAAAACCTTTCCTTGGAGGCCATTTCAATAGATAGTTTTGTGGATCCCCACTAGTGTTCACATGCATATTAAAACAACCCAATTATTCATCACTTATTCCAAATTTGAACAATATGAAGCATTTGGGCAAAATGTTATCCCCTTAGATCCCAAGTTTTCAAACATAGTATATAACTTTACTTTGGGACTTTTCCGATACTTACAAATTAAACATAAACAACTGTAATAAATTCATCATTATAAACACTGACTCAAATGCATATACCTCAAGGACCCAACTGCTAGAGGCATTATATCTACAATATAAACACAATATTAGAAAGCCAAGCCCCTAATCCAGTACACAGAAAGCACAGACCTTGAGGACTGGAGGCAAGTTATGGTAAACTACATCCATCCACTCCATAAATACCTCAGCAATATAAATCCAATTTCAAGATTCTCATGCATTGGTACATGGTCTCACAAAGACTGGTGAAATGTACCCAGTTAGTGTTGGAACTCTGCTTCAGGGACTGCCAAATCTCCAACATGTTCTTCCACATATGGAGAGCCTGTCCTTGCATTAGAAGATTTTGGAGCAGGGTGTATCAGATGGTTTATATTCTATTAGGGAAAAGGCACGCAAAAAAAATCCTAAGGAAATTCTCCAAAACCTGAAGCCTAAACAGTGCAAAGTTACCCAGTTTTGCCTTTTTAATGTTATCTTTACAGCAGCTAAACAAATCTTAGCTAATGCATCGTGGTCTTCCACACCCTCATAACTTAGGTTAATAGAATGGCACGGTATCTCTTGAATAAAAATGTGTCTGCAACTCTGAATAACAAAATAAAATTTGAGTGCATCTAGACTTCTTGAACTTATCATTTACCTAAGCACTTTGATCAGTCCCTTTGGACTTATTGAATTACTAAGTCCGAATTAATGAGACCACCCTCAGCAGATCTCCCTGCTACCCCAACCCCCCCTCCCCACACTGCTCTTGCTCCCAATCTATTACTTTCTTTACTATTCTTGAATTAACCTCTTTACTTTGGCTCTTAACTGCTTTCCCGCTGCCCTATAGAAGATATACTGCTACAGGGTAGCAGGGGTGCAAAAAATCACGTATATAAACATGAGTTTGCATTGCCGGGTAGGGGGCATGCACGTGCCCTACCCGCGCTGCTATTCGCGGCCTCGGCTGTCAATCACCAGGTCCCGGCCGGTGATTACTTGCTGGCACCCGGTGATCGAGGAGCATTACTGACAAAGGGAGAGAACTGTAAGTAAACAATACAGTTATCTCCCGTCAGCTCCTGCACACTGTTTTGCATGTCTCTGCATAGCAGAGCCATGCAAAGCAGCGTGCTTACAGTGAAGAAAACACACCTTACAGTATAACAGCACACAGTTAACCCTTTGATCGTCCCAGATGTTAACTCCTTCCTGGCCAATGCCAATAATACAGTGTCAGTGCTTTTTATTAGCACTTAATACATTTTGGCCTAAATTTATGATGAAATTTGATTTTCTTAAATTTTCACTGGACGTTTTTTTTTTTTTTCAAATAAACGGGAAAAAAACAAAACAAAAAAAAAAAAAACAACACACAGGTGATCAAATACCACCAAAAGAAAGCTCTATTTGTGGAGGAGAAAAAAAAAAAAGAAGGACGCAGATTTCATTTGGGTGCAGCGTTGCATGAAGGCGCAATTGTCAGTTAAAGTAAAGCAGCACCATAATGCAATATATGGCCTGGTCAGGAAAGGGGGGTAAATCCTCTGGAGAGCAAGTTGTTAAAGCACAATTCAATGGGGGCTCTATACTGAAGATGATTTTAAAAATATAGATACATATATGGTTTATCTACTTACAGATCACAATTGTAAAGTGTCTCAACCAATGCAAATATTGTCTAACTGAAATGGTGCGAGCTGTCATCAAGTATGTTTATTAAATACTGAATAAAAGCTTACTGAAAAGAAAAGCAATAAATATAGTGACATCCAGGGTGGATTTAAAAAACAAAAAAAACCAAAAAACGGATAATTTAAATTTTAATTGGATTTTTTAATTTTTAGCAAATTTATTTTAATAAATGCTTTTGAAGTAAAAAGCCATAAAAAGCCATCTATCTAAAGATAGTTTTCGATTTAAGATACATTAATGATTTAGTATAAGCTCCATTTCATATAATAATATGATAAGTATGTAGCATGAGGCTGTATATTCTGTAATATTTATATTTTTTGTAAACTCATTCAATAAATCCAAGCTCTGCAAGCTGAGATAACATGCACTGCATTGATGCATTCACACAATTTCACAGTAACCATGAGAAAATACATGAAATAAAAGAATTGAGTAGTTCTCTAGCTATGTGTGATTAACCTATTAACCTAAAATCGGTTCTGATATCGCTGTTTTACTAAACGGACAGCTTATTATTCGAAAAAGGAAACCTTCATTTGGTTTGCAAATATTATAGATTCTAACTACCAACAAGAATAAGTCGGATTCCTTACATTTAAAGAGCACCTGTCATTTTAGATCCATTATGACAGAGCCTGTTCGTGGGCATCCATTCACTTGCTGCTGCCATGTCCCTCAGCTTGTTGTGTCACTGCCACATCACCAGCCGTCCCAATAAAGTGAATGGGACTGTCAATGAGTCAACAGCGGATCAGAGGAGGAGATGCTGCAGGACAGAGATGACTGTTGCTCTTTAAAAATGATGATTCAAATCGAGCCTTTTCACTAGTGATTTAAATTATTTAAATCGTAATTTAAATCAAATCCACCTTGGTGACAGCCATTCATAATTTGATTTGTCCAATGTAATTTTCTCATTAGATTGTATATAAAACACAAAATTACATGATTAATGAAGGTGGAACATTCAAGATTGGAATGCTTTAGCCTTTGGATCCAAAGTAAATGATCCAAACTTCAAAATAGATTGCGTGACATCAACATACTGATTCTTTCTGTGTCTGGGTCTATATTTCCAGCAGGATTTGTAATACCTACTGGCTACAGAGAACACTCTGTCCCTGCCCAGAAGGATAGAAACATCATAGAGTCACTTTTCAGGAGGAATATATTAGTCTGTTATAAGAAGGCGCCAGGACAAGGTCTTATCTTTGGAGACCTCAATGCTAGAACAGGAAGCGAGAAAAAAAAAAAAAAAAAAGGACTATATAACCTCTGATGGAAACACATACATACTGTCAGGAGTCAATACAGACACAAAGAAACAGCTATGACCGTACAAACAACAAGAGTGGAGAAAAAATGCTGACTTGCTAACACCAATACTGGATGTTATTAAAGTGGTAAACTTTTTGTAAAAAAATTGCAGACAGACAAGATATTTATGACAGAAGAGACTCCACCGGTCTCTTCCTCCATAAATGCTACCTCCTGCCTTTCATGTACACAGAGCTACGCATGCGCATCTCAGTGAACATTTACAGGCCCAATCTGTGCTGCTGCGATGTGACTCCCTTGCGCATGCACCAGAATGACTTCACCGCAGCCTGGCCATTCAAGCGGCTGAAGTCACAGAACCCGGAAGGAGGTTGGGTGAAGCTGGAAGAGCCCGGGACCTATTAGGATCAATCACAGCGCAGTGCCAGAGGGCTCAATTTGACAGGTAAGTCTGTCATAATGTGCTAATATGCTGTGCATTATGGAATAACCCACCTGGGGTCCCACAAAAAGTAGAAGTGACAGATTACTTTACTACAGCTTTAATGCTGACACCAATGATAACTCCAACTTTCTTTAACTGTGCATTGTGGTACACTGCAAAAAATGCAGCAGGACTAACATTTTCAGGCACTGAGATGCCTAACTGGAAGCAATGCACCTCAATGCATGAAAATGCACTGCAGTCCTCTGAAGTGTAGGGGGCTGCACTTGGGGCCTTTTACAATTTGCAGGGTGACCACCATTGCTCTAAAAACATGACTTCAAATATGCAAGTATGGCACGGTACTTTTTTGATTATTATATATTTTATTAATTTTCTTTAGAGAAAAGACAATACAAATAATAATATCACATTAAATACATCCTTTTCCCCTGGCCTATACCCTCCCCCCCAATCCTCTCCATCCCCCCCCTTAAAAAAGAAAACCATGTCCATTCCTGTCTTAACTTCTCTTCCCTTTCTGTATACCAGCCTATTTCTATTTGTCTATTTAATCATTCCAATTCTCCAACTCAATAATCAAATCACCCCTCATTTTAACATATTTTTCCGATGTTTTAAAATCACACCATTCTCTCCATTTTTCTCTATACCCTTTCACTTTATCCTCCTCAATATAACACAACTACTCCATCTTATTAATATACTCAATTCTATCTATCCAGTCCTACATTGTTGGAGATTCCTGGGCCTGCCAATATTTAGGAATCAAGCTATTTGCTGCACAAAGTAGATAATACAGTATACTTTTTATATATTTGTTTTACGGACAACTCTGTTTTGTAAAATAGGTACACCCACGGGTCCTTCTGGATTGAAGTCCCCAAAATCTCCTGTATATTTTGAATTATTTCTTGCCAAAATACCTGTATTTTTGGGCCATTCCCACTAAATATGCGCCATCATCGCAAGTGCCCCACATCCCCTCCAGCACAATGGTGATATTTCCTCTCACTGTTTATGTGCCACACTCGGTGTACAATACCATCTAGATAAAAACTTAATTCATTTCAACCATGTTCATATTCCTCACCCCATGTACAAATTGTAACACTTTACTCTTCTGTTGATCATTTATTCTTGTACCCAATTCTCTTTCCCATTTTTCTAAGAATGTCAGAATTCCAGCTCCCATGAGTTCAGATAGAATCTTATAAATCTTTGATATTATATGTTCACAACTCATCTTTGAACTCAACAATTTTTCAAATGGTAGCATCTCTTCCCTAGCAAACACTTTGAAGCATAACAGAGATAAGAATTGCTTTACGGTAGAAAAAGGGGTAACGAGATTAAAATAAAGAAAAAAAAAAAATCCAAAAATAAAGAGTACAGGAACCAGTCAACCCCAGCCAAGCAGTTTGGTTTTTTTGGTCAATAAATATTAATCATATTTGCTGGAAGAACCTTGGTTTGCATAACTGGAGATGCTTTTTACTCTCACATCCTACTTGGGCAGTGACAACAGGATGGAACTGCTATGGTATATGTCATGGTGCTGGGAGAAAGATCATGAATAAACATAACTCAAGGAAACCATCTTGGAAATACAGTTACACTGAACACTAAAGATACCTGATCGTGCAATGCCGCTGTCCTTATCTTCATTCTGTCCTCTGCTGGGCATATCCACTGGTGTGCTGTGAGCTGCACAGAGAGGAAAATAGTTAAAAGTGGTTCAAATTAAATCTCAAGGAAATTTTTCAAGCATATAAACGCATGATCGGGTAAGAGGAGGGGGGCAGGGAGTATACATTTATACCAGTTCTGCAAGAGTAATATCACCAAAAACAGTTTTACCATAGTTTACACCTTCCCATAATGAAGTGCGGGGTTCCATGCCCGTTTTTTGTCATCATCAACAACTGAAGCAGTTTAATCATTATCACCAGGGTTTATTCAAGAATACGATGTAACCTTGTGCTGTGACTAGGAGCAACCAGATGTCAGCTGCTGAATAGTTATGATCGATTAGATGCTGTGGGCTAGGGCACGTTGTTAATCCCAGCTTAATATACTTCCACAAGTCCAACTGTGTTACATGTTTACTAGTTTTCATTCATCAGCATTTAAAGCATTCTCAGAATACTAAACCTTCATTTCTCTTGGTTGTTAATGATGGAGCAAAATAAAATAGTGTCTCCTCACATTTTGCTGGCTGGGGTAGGTGAACCATAAGGTAAAAGTATTTACTCCATGCCAGGGTAATATAAAGTGCAAAACCGCAGATTGTACTGTGTCCACTAAACAAAATCGCCATCAAGCCATCAGTGAAGCAAGCCCCTCCACCAAATTGCATGCATAATTGAAAAAGTGCATTTTATCTTCCAATATATAAACTGCAATCTACTTTCACTTGTAATGCCATTTCAGTACTGGAATAAAACATTGGTTATGATTCTCTTTAGGTCACAGGAGACCGTAAACCACCTCATATCTTCATTTGTGGAAGAAATGCATATGTCAACATTGTTAAAATGTTGTAATAAGAGTGGCATAGGTTTCTTAGAAGCAGTAAAACCTACATTTGGTGTCTTTTATAGGTGGTTGATGAGCCAAGCATACTGCAGTTTACAACACAAGCCATCATGGGTGATCTGCGCTAACCTCCCAGAAATCCAGACTGAAATGTCAAATTGGTCATTTAAAGTAGGCCCTTCATGGAAAAGTAAGGAATAATTTGAAGTGTTGCCCAACTATTTTAAAAGAGCTTTTCAATTTGGTTTCCTCAGACCAGGAGCAGCTAGTAAGAGAGGTTGCAGCAACAATGTCACTGTTCTTACTAGCAGTACAGAAGTACCAGTGCTATTACAGACCACGATCTCCATGTATAGGAAAGAAAGTTGCATTTAGTGCAAGATGACAACATTGGGGTTTTTAACAGAAGAGAAGCGGTTTTCAAAGCAAAGGGAATGTTCACCTTGGAAAGTGCATGTTTACTTTGCAAAGTGAATGTTTGTAAACAAGGCAAAAGTGAGGTTTACTCCGAACACCCATATGAAAATATTTAGATGTATTAGCGGCCCAGGAGGTGGGACATAAATAGGAAAGAAAAGGTCAGAAAATGAGACTTTAATGGTGTTACCTCTCAAAAGAATTAACAAAAAAAAGTATTATTTTTAATTTATATACCCCAAAAAATATAAAAGATTAAATCACAAATCTAAAAGAATAGACGTTAGCATCCTAATATAGTACTTTTTTTGGCACCCCCCAGAGGCCAGCCTATAACCACTACCTATATTAGTCAATCATTCTCAATCTTATACTGCATCTCCAAACCAACAATCTAGGGCTCAGTGTACAGTGGGGATCGAAAGTTTGGGCACCCCAGCTAAAAATTTGTATTAATGTGCATAAAGAAGCCAAGGAAAGATGGAAAAATCTCCAAAAGGCATCAAATTACAGATTAGACATTCTTATAATATGTCAACAACAGTTAGATTTTATTTCCATCATTTACACTTTCAAAATAACAGAAAACAGAAAAATGGCATCTGCAAAAGTTTGGGCACCCTGCAGAATTTATAGCATGCACTGCCCCCTTTGCCAAGCTGAGACCTGCCAGTGTCATGGATTGTTCTCAATCATCGTCTGGGAAGACCAGGTGATGTCAATCTCAAAGGTTTTAAATGCCCAGACTCATCTGACCTTGCCCCAACAATCAGCACCATGGGTTCTTCTAAGCAGTTGTCTAGAAAACTGAAACTGAAAATAGTTGACGCTCACAAAGCTGGAGAAGGCTATAAGAAGATAGCAAAGCGTTTTCAGATGTCAATATCCTCTGTTCGGAATGTAATTAAGAAATGGCAGTCATCAGGAACAGTGGAAGTTAAAGCAAGATCTGGAAGACCAAGAAAAATATCAGACAGAACAGCTCGCAGGATTGTGAGAAAAACAATTCAAAACCCACGTTTGACTGCACGATCCCTCCAGAAAGATCTGGACCAGTGGCACAGGGAACATCTCACGAGTAGAAGGAAAAATGGATTCAATAAAATTTCAGCAAATTTTGGATGGTAACTTGATGCCATCTGTGAAAAAGCTGAAGTTAAAGAGAGGATGGCTTCTACAAATGGATAATGATCCTAAACACACCTCGAAATCCACGGGGGATTACATCAAGAGGCGTAAACTGAAGGTTTTGCCATGGCCTTCACAATCTCCTGACCTCAACATAATTGAAAATCTATGGATAGACCTTAAAAGAGCAGTGCGTGACAGACAGCCCAGAAATCTCAAAGAACTGGAAGACTTTTGTAAGGAAGAATGGGCAAAGATACCTCAAAAAAGAATTGAAAGACTCTTGGCTGGCTACAAAAAGCGTTTACAAGCTGTGATACTTGCCAAAGGGGGCAGTAAAAAATATATACTCTGCAGGGTGCCCAAACTTTTGCAGACGCCATTTTTTTGTTTTCTGTTATTTGAAAGTGTAAATGATGGAAATAAAATCTAACTTTTGTTGACATATTATAAGAATGTCTAATCTGTAATTTGATGCCTTTTGGAGATTTTTCCATCTTTCCTTGGCTTCTTTATGCACATTAATACAAATTTTTAGCTGGGGTGCCCAAACTTTTGATCCCCACTGTAGGTATATACACTGATCAGATATCACTACACAGGTTATGGATATAGCCAGAACTCTACAGGTTTCACTTAGTGCTTGTTCAGGCGTGAGGTGCTGTGAATAGAGACCCAAAAAGAAAGCCACAATCTATGGAGATTAACCGATCCCGTGCACGGATGCACAAAATCACGTATATATACACTTGATTTTGCATTTCCGGGTTGGGGGCGCAAGCGCGCCCTACCAGTCGCGGCCTCAGCTGTCAATCACCAGGTCCCGGCTAGTGATTACTCGCAGACACCAGGTGATCACCGAGCATCTCCGGCAGGGAAGAGAACTCCCGTCAGCTCCTGCACACTGCTTTGTATGGCTCTGCATAGCAGAGCCATACAAAGCAGTGTGCTTACAGTGAAGCACACACACAGCCAACACAGTAAAAACAGCACAAAGTTAACCCCTTGATCGCCCCAGATGTTAACCCCTTCCTGCCCAGTGCCATTAGTACACAGTGTGTGCTTTTTATTAGCACTGATCGCTGTATTGGTGTCACTGGGGATGTCAGTGACACCAAGTCAGTTCCCCTCAGTGTCAGAATGCCCGCAGTCCTGCTATAAGTTGCTAATCACTGCCATTACTAGTAAAAAAAAAAAAATCCAGTATATATATCGCCATTTGTAAACGCTAGAACTTTGACATAAACCAATTAATTTACATGTATTAGGATTTTTTTTTTTTTAGCAAAAGACATGTAGCAGAATATATTTTGGCCTAAATTTATGATGAAATTTGATTTTTTTTTTTTTTTTTACTGGATATGTTTAATAGCAAAAAGTAAAAAAAATTGTTTTTTTTTTCCCTCAAAATTTTTGGTCTTTTTTGTTTATAGAGCAAAAATTAAAAAAAAAAAAAAACACGCCCAGGGGATCAAATACCACTGAAAGAAAGCTCTATTTGTAGGTAAAAAAAAAAAAGACACAAGTTTATTTTGGGTGCAGCGTTGCATGACTGCGCAAATGTCAGTTAAAGTAACGCAGCGCTGTATCGCAACAAATGGCCTGGTCAGGAAGGGGGGTAAATCCTAAAGAGGGCAAGTGGTTAAGCAGTGTGTAATTTTGTACACATATCAATATGGATGGGGCACAATGAAGGAGTCTGTAATAGTACTGCTATTAAAGGATGCTGTTCATCAGTGCTCAAATCCCCAACTGATTAGTGTCACCGGGAGGAACAAGTGGCACCCACAAACCATTCTAAAAATAAGTTCATAAAATGTATTTATTTATAAAATTATATAAGTAATCAGGCCATCAAAGAATATGTAACGCTAAACATTTCATATTTCTGGTATGTGTTTGCCGTACCATGCAATTGTATGAAAAAGTATCCTGTTCTCTTTGTATTGCTTCCTTTATGTGAAATCCCTTGTGTTCCTGCCAGTCCCTCTGCTTTCCTATTAAAACACTAGGCATGAGAGCACAGAGTGGTCAGTATTCTAGCCGTGCTACAAACTCAGTATTCCCTTCTCTGATGATCAGACTTGTGCTGACAAGCACCCTCTGCACAGCCATTCACTGGGAAGATGATTAGTGTGCTCCTGTTTCACCACCCCAGCTCCTAGTACAGCTGAGAACACAGGGAATGTGATCACTACTTTAAAGAAAAAAAAAAAAGGGGGGTATTTATAATGTTTTTTTTATGTATGCACAAATGGTTTGCCTTTCATTTCTATTTTAAACCAAATGGGTTGTAATACATTTGAGTATTAAAAATGGTGGTTAACCTTTTATGACGACATCTGATCAGCGTTTACATACACTGACCTTTGGATTGTTGGGTCAGAGATGTAAAAGAATTATTATAGCTAGTGGTTATAGGCAGGCCACTAGAGGGTGCTAAAAGCACTAAGATGATGCTTCAAGTGAAGTTCCAGTCCTTTTTGTGTTTATTAAAAGTCAGCAGCTACAAAAAAACAAACAAAAAAAAACCAAAAAATAAAAAAAAAAACACACACTCGCCTGTCCCAGAGTCCAGCGATGTTCTCAACTGCGTAATCCCTTTTCCCCTTCTTTCCT